CATCCCTCTCCCCCTCCAAACTCCCTTTACCCTTCCACGGCCCCCCTTCCGTCCCCTACGCTACCAGTACAACACAAAAGCCTTTAGCTACAAAAGACATTGAAAACTACTACTGATACAACAACACTAGGCCTACTCCCACGCCCTGAATCTCCTTTAACCTATTTTATACGATAAAATCTCAATAAAAAAAAAAGAGAATCGGCACGGTATTATTCACTTCACCTATACATAAGAGAGCGATTAAAGAGTCTCTACCTTATACTTCTTGGGTATAAAGGATTGGAACACACACACACACATTCATAACTTGAGGAGGAAGGGGATCAAGTCTTTGCTCGAGGGGGTTCTGCTCCTATGTTGTACAGTGAAGGGAGGAAGGAAAGGGGATTGAAAGGCTCTACTCGGGTGTATAAAGGGATCGAAACACTCACACACACACATCCGATTCGCGCTTCAAAGGCTTAGGATATTGAAGTCTTTACCAGGTGGTTTGGATCCTGTGTGGGGAGGGAGGAGAGGAAGAGAGAAGGGGAGGGAGGAGAGGAAGAGAGAAGGGAAGGGAGAGGATATGAGAGGAAGGGGAGAGAGAGAGAGAGAGAGGAGGACGAAAGGGCGATGTAATGAAAGGAGAGGAGAGTAAAAGGAAAGAGAGAAGGGAAATGAGAAGAGACAAAAGAATGAGAGGGGGAAATTCAGAAAGGAGAAGGGAGAAGAAAGAAAGGAGGAGAGGAAGGGAGAGAGAGGTTAGACGAGGGAGGATTTTATAATTAGTTTAACAAATTTACTGACAAAGCTTGTAGTACAGTTTGCCTATTGTGAGTGGGGTCAAGAGGAGAGAAAGATGCCGTACTCTCGTCAGCTGTTTACGGTTAACGAGTCCAGTACATGAACATCCTGAAGAAGGAAGGAAAGGAAAAAAGAGAAATATAAATAATGAATGAATGCAGGTAAAAAGACATGTACAAAAGAAAGAAAGAAAGAAAGAAACGAACGAACGGAGGGTCACACAAGCTATCATCACATAGGCTCCACCGTTAAAGCTGACCACCTTACAGGCTGACACTCCTAGGCCTCTACTGCTGGTGGTGGTGCTGGTGCTGGTGGTGGTGGTTATATTATAGTAGGTTAGGTTAGGTTAGCATTAGGGTGGTTAATCTTCAGGTTATCTAAACACACACACACACACACACACACACACACACACACACACACACACACTACTAAAGGCTAATAATTCACCTTTTTCCAGGTACCGTATACAGCTGTTGTCACCCTCTTCTGAAGATGACAGGAGCCGATAATGCCGCGCCCTACACGACCACGCCGCCAGCAGGAGGAGCTACAACCAGTGCGTGTGTGTAGAAGCAACAGAAGACCTACAGGGAGACGGTATATAGAATGTGAACATGTACAGTTATGATCAAAATTATCAGAACACTTTAAAGGTCATGATAGGTTGGTAAGGGGGTTTAGGTATTTATTATTATTATTATTAATTATTATTATTATTATTATTATTATTATTATTATTATTATTATTATTATTATTATTATTATTATTATTATTATTATTATTATTATTATTATCACTATTACTTCTATCACCATCATTATTTTATAACTTCATTAAGACTTATGACACATCCGACACCTGTACATGAAGCTGGCCCACACCTGTTGCACACTGATCACTGGTGTTACCTGTATACTGTACCTTAATAAATGTGTATAATAACTTAGGTGTGTTTCTGAATCCTACACTGGGTAACGTAACGGTATTAAGGGAAGGATTTACTCGGTTTATGGAGAGAAGGAGGACCCAGGGAAGTGAGGGAAGACCCAGGGAAGTGAGGAAAGACCCAGGGAAGTGAAGGAGGACCCAGGGAAGTGAGGGAAGACCCAGGGAAGTGAGGAAAGACCCAGGGAAGTGAAGGAGGACCCAGGGAAGTGAGGGAAGACCCAGGGAAGTGAGATAAACCCCTCTAGTGATTACGACGCTTTCCATCAATAGATCTGCTGGAGGCTTTGAGCGGGATGCTGTGCGGAATATATTAACTACAGGGAGGAGAACTACCCGACAGAGGAGGGAGGAGAGCTACCCGACGGAGGAGGGAGGAGAAGGACCCGACGGAGGAGGGAGGAGAAGGACCCGACGGAGGAGGGAGAAGGACCCGACGGAGGAGGGAGGAGAACTATCCGACGGAAGAGGGAGGAGAACTATCCGACGGAGGAGGGAGGAGGACTATCCGACGGAGGAGGGAGGGGGGACCAACAACCGATGGACGATGACAACAACCCGACGGCAGAGGAGGAGAAGCTTCCCCCCAGAACGAGAATGATCAAGCTAATAATGAATTTAATTAACTAATTGGGTATAGAGTCTCTTACCCCACGACCCGGGGACACACAGACACACACACACACACATACACACACAGCCCCACACACACACAGATACAGACACACGCACACACACACACACACACACACAGTGAAAACTTGAATGGGTTGGGAGAGTGTGTGGCAGGGAGGGCAGGGGAAGACGTGAGAGGGAAAGGACTCATCATACTCAAGGGATTAAATCATCATACTCAAGAGCTACAGTCATTATACTGAGACGGAACAAGCGAGATAATTACTTTTAATTAACCTTCGTTCAGATACCGCACAGAATAAAGGTAACTGCATGGCAACGACAAGAGACTTAACACGCCACTAAACTTGTCGACGTGCGGTGTTTGTGTGTGTGTATGTGTGTATGTGTCAAGTTTAACATAACACAAACCCATGCCTCAAGCAACAACATGAAGCATTAACCGATATATTAATCACCAGGGATCATTTCAATTAATTAGGTATCAATTGAATATAATTACTAACACCCCAAGGGACATTTAGCCTAATGTGCTTAATCGTGAAATGCCAACAGACAGTTATCTAAACGTCACCTGTCCAACTTAAGGTAATATTTTAAACGCATGATGCTACTTGAATATACGATGTTTTTGTAGTTCTAATTAAGACTACAAAATTAAGAGGAAGAGTTCCGTCAGGCCATACCCGTTGTTCTCAGTCTACTGTTGCCGGACCCTCAAATATTTGTGGTTTCTGATAGTGAACAAGTTAGGTTAGTTTAGCAGGTATTAGGGTGTCATAAAATGTTAAATTGATTTATTTCACGTTGAATTTAGTTAAGAATAAGGGTCAGTTTATAGTACAAGGCATAATTCAATATTGTTTTTGTTGTTAATGATAAGTTCGGACAAAAACAAAACGATTTTTATTTGATACTTTTGGCGCATTTTACCCATAACCGAAGAGCTTTTCTAAGAGGGTTCAATGGTTTGGTGGCTTCATAGAGCTTCAGGTCTATGTGTGTGAGCTAGTCTAAAGTTCACACCGCAAAGAAGAAACAAGAGAGTGCGGGGCCGGTGGCGGTAGTTTTTTTCTGATGTGTGTGCAGTAATATTTCAGTCATAATATTGTAATGTATTTGTTGATGGTAAACAGTGAGGCATCGTAGCTGAAGTTCACCAACTCGTACTATAGTTGACCATTGTCCAACCTTCTGAAACTCTCAATTTGTTTTCTCCTCAACGTTAATGGAAAATATTCGAAACTAAAGGAACTTAATGGGAGTAATATTTTAAATGTGAATCTTCCATACATCCATCAGTAAAAAGTGGTGAATTTGACCAAGATCGGGGAAAAAAATTCATGTTTAACATACGGCTATATAACACGGCAGAATTACTAGATCAATATACTGTACATCTGAGTTTAGAAGTCTGGCAGTACTCAGTGGTCCGTTTAAGCGAAAAATCATATTCGCATTCTTGTAATAATTAAAGACATTAATAAATATCCAATGAAAAAATATATCAATGATGTGGAGTCACTCAAGACATCCTCTTATAGTCAGAGTTATGAGGGTATTCTAATTTATTTTATTATCACTTATTATTATTATTATTATTATTATTATTATTATTATTATTATTATTATTATTATTATTATTATCACATTATTACTATTATTTTTATCATCACATTATTATTTTCTATTTTTATTATTATTATTATTATTATTATTATTATTATTATTATTATTATTATTATTATTATTATTATTATAAGCTGATGTGTCTAATTTTAAGGTAATCCATAAGTTCAATTAGATGATTCATATGACGTAACACCATGAACCAACTCGCCTCAGTATGATGACATCAGAACACGCCAAGACATGATGGTTGCACCCAGCATGATACGACGAGAATATAATATCATGGGGTATAACCTGCTGACACTTTTATTATAGCCAGAAGATATTTTTAATATAGCCAGCTGAATTAAATATCGCCAACAGTTATTTTATAGACCACTAACCCACCGTATTTAACTTATACTACAAATAAGTAAAAAAAAAAAAACAATGAGTTTTGGTGATACTCATAACAGTAATCGGGTTCTCTATCTTAGATCGTCTACTTATATCCTGTGGGCATTTTACCATACCCAAAATACCCAGAACTTGCGTCACGCGTAGCAGGAAATGATATACTGACGTCAGCACTCCTTTGTCTAGGCACATCTACTTAACACGTGCTAAGGAACCTTTATTTATTAACTGCATGGTGGTATAGATGTCTAGTAAGGCATTAAAAAGGATATTGTATTATCAATCAACAAAATAAACTGAAGAAATAATGTTACATAAGCATATACAACGGGCGCGGGACCTTGAGCCTGGGGGACGGCAAACAGATACCAAATACTGTCACGTTTTCTATTATTACCATCATTTAAAAGCAATATTTGGAGACTCTTCTTATTCTCAAGTTCACAAAAATACCCAGTTATGACATATGAAGTGGATGGTATAATAATCATGACATAGCTTGAGGAATAAGGTCGTAATATTGAACAAAAATTCTCTAAGTAGCACTATTCCCGGCTTGTGCTGATATAGCCAAGGGAGCAGCCCTCAACCAGTGCCGCATCCAGAAGGATAGTTGTAGCCTGGGCACGGGTGGTAGCACGTCGTTGGTGGCATAGTCCTTTTAAGAATTTTAGTAATTTTTATAATCAACTCCTTCCATCGTCCCCAAAATGGCTTCATCAGTCGCCAAGAGCTTTTATGAACTGAGCGCCAAGGCTCTATCTGGTACGTGTTTATCAATGACGTTTGTTTAATTTATTGTATTTATCGTATAGAATGAAGCTTTTGATTGTTTATAGTTAATTTATTCAGTAAGATCGCCATACAAGTTTCCATTAAATTGTGTACATAGTATAAACATACAAACAATGGTACTAGTTGACTCAGCCAATGATTACTCAGAGGAACCGTTGTTTTTAATTTGTAACTTTAGTTGAGTAAATTGTTGATATAGTGAACTGTAAATGAATTGTCTTAAGCTGAAAATACCCAGACAGGATATTAGTTTTGGGAGATGAAAGACTAATTAATTACAGAGCTATTTATCGTCAAGGTTGTAATTGGATTATGTTGTGACTGGCGATTTTACTGTATAAACTATCAAACTGTTTTACAAATGTCTCTTATCTATCTGTATATCAATATTTCTATTTTCTCTATCTATCTACCATTCTACCTACCTCTGTAGCAGCGGTAGACAGCGACTAAAGCCTCACGTCAGAGTGACTGAGTAACTTTGAGGGAGTAAATAAGTGTCGGTGATGGCTTGCCGCCTCTTCCTCCTCCTATCGACCAGTCAGTGTCATTAATACCTAGAAACATAAGTCAAATAACCCTGGACTGTTATGTGTTGAATGTATTTAACAGAATTAAAGAACAAATAGTTTATTTTGACTGTATAAAATGTGTTTTGGTACCTGTATTGTGTAAAGTGAATAATTGAAAAATTAATTGGCTCGTAGCGTCGAAGCGTGTCCAGTGAGTAGTGGAGGTCAGGAGGCGATATTCTAATTATTACTTAATATTCATAAGCTCACTAAGCCTGGGGAGGGGGGTATGGGAGATGTAGAGGAGGAACGAGAGAGAAGGGAAGGGATGTTTTTTTTATGGTAAGTAAAAGTGAAATGCCACATACAGGTAGTACGTGGGGAGGTCAGCTATGGGAGGGTCCGTTGTACGCATGCGCAGGTGACCGGGCTTCCAGAAGTTACCATCCTGTATTCCTTACCTGTAGGTGATTTTTATACACAACTAAGTTGGTTTTCACCTCCTATGCTAATGCTTGATATTTAATAATTATACAGCGATACATTATTGTTGAAACTGAAATGATATAGTTAATATATTTCAAATTTTATCACATCTAAGGTAAAGTGTGTGTGTGTGTCTGAGGGCAGGGGCATACCTATGTTGAAATTATGTACCCACTGTGATTTATATAATGGTGATAAGAACACACATTACCCACCCTTACTATTATTGGGGTAGTGATGATGATAAGGTGATCCACCCCATTGTTCCAGGTGGTGGTTGAGGCATTGGGGCCTGGGCTGTATAAGAGACCTGGGTAGATATTTATTAAAGAGTCCTATGATGAATATTCCTTAAGTTGTAAGAATATTCACTTAATATTCATAGTATCACTTATATTCTTACGCTATGACGTACATTGTTGCACCATCATATACAAAAGAATAGTTATCGTACGTCCCTTAGTCAGTCCGGATAGGAGTGTGACTGGAGGGAGGGAGAGGCCTTGCCATACCCCTGTTGACGCTGCACCCCCTTCGGAAGTTATATATCCTGTCTGGGTTTTGTCGAGTATGTGTCGAAAAAACACATAAAAACCGACGTTAGTTAAGAGACTATTTAAGAGTTTTATTGCCATAGCTATTTTTTGTGCGTTTTAAGATTGTCGGCTAGCTAAGTGCATTTTTGTGTCTATTTTACGAAGAATTTTCATAGGCACGAACGTTTTTGAATCTAGCCATTCTAGTCAATGAGTCCAGTCTGGAATTCCCTCCAAAAGAATGGTGTAATTATGTGAATCAACATCCGTCAACGTTGTTTTTACTGGGACATATTTTCTTTAAGTTCAAAAAAGGAAAACCACTGTGAACGGGAGGTCGGTTAAATAGATATATGACCTGACGACTTCGGTAATTACTTAACCTGATCTGACCCAACTCGAGCCAGCCTAACCTAACTTAATCTATTCAAATCTAATTTAACCTAACCGAACCTAATGTAAATTAACCTAACCAAACCTAATTCTACCTAACTAAACCTAATTTAATCTAACCTAACCAATTTAATTTAACCTAGTAACCTGATTTAAACTTGCTAGGCTAAGAACCAGACCTAACCTAACCAGCTAAATAACTAAACTAAAGAGAGAGATAAATCAACCCAGGTGGTTTACAATGTCATGACTGTAGTTTAACTTTTGTGGGGCGGAAATGGAGGGAGAGGAGAGGAAGGGTGGCGTTAAATTGAGAGACGGAGAGGGAGGGATAAAGAGGCAAGGAAGAATGAGTCATGCAGATACGAGTGAAAAGAAGAATAGGAAGAATTGAATGAAGAGGAAAAGAGAAGAATTTTACAAAAGGAAAATTTGAATTGAAGAAATAGTCATCGGATGCGCCTGACCATTGTTTTCCCTGTGCATTCATCTTACAAATATGTTCGCATGAGGTGGATCTGTTGCAGCATTTTCAACCATTGGTGTCACAATACTGAATCCATAAAAGGGGTTTGGTTATATTAATCGTTCGTTTCAGAAATTCGGATTCATTAGGTGCAGTTTTTAATTGGTATCGTTCGTGTTAAATTTGGATTCTTTTGTTAGTATATTTATAGTTTGTGTTGCAATTTCGGATTTATTGGATAGGATAATTAGGTATATCGTTATCGCTCATGGCTCAAATGTGGGTTCATAATGAGGAATTTTTTTTATACTGTATAACTTTTTGCCCTTAAAATTCATTGTCATTCTTCCTGTCCTCACTTCCAGTAAGGTCGAGCTTTGTTGATAGCTTAAAACATGAGTGCTGCCATTAAACACTGCCATGACTATACTACTGCCTTATATAAATACCATTCTCCCTTGGTTATTGTGATGGCTGGAGAGTTATTGTTCATGGTAGTTTCGGTGTGATTTGAGCTGAGAGCAATAATTTAACTACAGCCACAGTCTCTATAAGTAATTTCAACCATTGCCTACAACTACAACCATCACAACAACCAACCAGCAAACCGCAGCCATGACTACCACAACGACTACAACCCCCACCATAACCCACAATCAAAAACCTTTACCAACACTAACCACAACCCTAGCCACAACCACCACCATAACCGTCATCACCACCTTAACCATCACAACCAACACCATAACCAAAATCACTCTAACCACCACAACCTTAATCACTACCACCACCAGTAAGGTTAACCAGGTTGACTGCGTGTGGTAGAGAAGTTCATGTGTATATTGCTGTATCAAAGGTGCTTGTGGTGAAGCGGATGTGTGTGGCAGATATGGAGTTTGTTGGTGGTTCACTCCCTCCATATATACTGTATATACACTAGTAGTAATGTATATATTAACATTTGTCACACACACACACACACACACACTAATCACACACACACACACTAATCTCACACACACACACACACACACACGACCTTGCATGTGTCATTCTCACTCACTTAACAGCGGCTGCCTTGTTTACTGTGATGGTCAAGTTCCTCTCGGCGCGCTACCCTGCATAGTGTTACCTCCTGACCTCCTCTCCTCCCTTTCCTAGCTCCTGTCCTGCCCTCCCATCCCTTCCTTTCCCCTCCCCCTCCTAGCAAGCGTGTGCCCTGCTGCTCAGAGCTTGGCCAGGGGATATGTCTATCTGTCAGGCTGCACGAACGAAATCCCAGTAGACCAAATTCACACTGGATAATTTCTCTGGGGAAAAAAATAGCATTGGGTAATGGTATAAATCCACGAGGTTAATCTAATATACTATAGGACTAGGCATGTGTGTGTGTGTGTGTGTGTGTGTGTGTGTGTGTGTCTGTTCTGGCCAGCCGAAACAGCACAATCGTTTTTCATCAAACTTGGTGGAAAAATCGCACAAAATTCGTAGAGTGGAACAAACCTGGTCCCATGTCGATGGTTTATTTAGGAAGGCATTAATTAACAATTTTATTTACAATGGAAAACGATTCAAGTCTACGGACTTGGCACACCCTCATTCGCTGTACGCTGTCACGAGCGTTCAGACTCTCACAAGGGCACGTATGTATACACTAGTCATTGCCAAGTTTTCAGGGAATTTTGATCGCTACTCTACGCAAACATGTATAACAGTAAGCTGAATATATTTTTCTACCGTTATCTTTCGTTATTGCGAGTTGGCATCGTACTTACGGGGCTAATCTGTTTACCTTAATAGACTAATTCACTTTATCTGGGTTAAAAGATATCATCTACCTGGCTCTCCCACACCCCCTCCTTCCTATAGCAACCAGGCGAGGTAAGGGAGGGTGACTGACCTATAAATTCTTAGCCGTCTAGTGTACCGCTCGGAGGTGTCCAACAGAGCAGCATCATCACCTACCTGGAAGGATCCGAACCTCTTTAACTTAATGGAAATGCTCATTCAGCTCGTCCATGAGATCCAATTCTTCTATTACCTCTTATTACATCCATGACGTCATTTGTTTTTACTGTTGCCAGGGTTGGATTCGCTATAGATTGAATTATATGAGACGGTATATTGGACAACATCTCCCAGACGTTGAGCGAACGGTTATGGCGGCGTACCATAGCATCTGTTCCTCGCTAGGCTTCGGTCGGTGGCGTTTCACAATATTTAACTTTTGGAATTTTTTTTTTGAGGTAGTCTGAGCATGTTTTTGTGGTGGTTTGTATTTTACCTGTTTTTCGCTAGTTGTTTTTTTACTTGTAGCATTTTTTTTCTTGGTGTGGCAGGATTTTCAGGTGTTTTTATTTATAGCTGATGAACACTACTTTTCATTGGCATTTAAGAATTAACTTGAACATACAGTAGAGTAATGCCAAGCAAAAATAAAAACAAAATTCATTTAACTTTCTCCAATTTGAAGATCAAGAAGATGTGTTGCTAAATATTACCTTATGAAATTGAATTGTGTATTTCGCGTTGCCACCAAGTTTTTGATAACCTGATGAGACTAACTGACTCACCTTAATGGAACAAATATTTAATCTGGCTAATGGTCACCTGTTTTTTTAAGTTGAGTCTAGCATGGTCGGTCACTCCTGTCAGCGGACGGGTGTTTTGAGCCAAGATGGATGACCAGTCTAGTGTACACGCCCAGTCAGTCACACAACACACAAAAAGAAATAATATTGGTGCGAAAAAAATTATAATACCACGAAGTTCCATTAAATTAATTATGGTTTTTGTATGTGAGATGGCAACAGTGTAGTGAGGAGAGTGAGGACGAAGGTGATTAACCGATTAAAAAGAGTTACATAAGGTGTCTGGCCTTCAGGTAGACGACTAATGGGGTTACAGGTAGTGTTGCCAGCACGTAACAGTCATATTACCATTAAAGGTTCATTGAATTAATTTTATTTTTCGTCTAAGAGGACTTGGTAACAGTGTATTTGAGGGGATTAAACAGCCACAGAGTTTTTGTACGTAAGATAATCAAGTAGATAAATTAACTTGAATCATAGTTAGAGTTGGTATAATGTAAGCCTTTCGAAGTCTAAACTCTGATACATAATACATTTGTCATACATAACGACTGTATAAATAGTGGTCAATATGGTAATAGTATCAACCATTCACCGCTTGACTATTCTAGGCTCGTGGTCGCTGAGCTATCAGTGTCCGGAAAAGTTTAAAAAATAGTAAAAGCTTTGGTTCGGGAAAAACTCCTAGTATATACAGTACACACACCTTTTAAATAGCCTATATAATGTTAGCTTTGGTTGGGGTTAGGTAGGTTAGATTAGGACTAGGTAGATTAGGTTAGGACTGGGTAGATTAGATTAGATTAGGTTGTGTTTGTAACCCACGTAGACGCAGAGTTGAGAAATAGTCATACCTGTGTACCATTTGCCACACCATTTAATTATGTCCATATCATCCTTGTATGGTCTACTATCTCGCATTATTAACCACAAGTCATGTAGTATTGTCTGAGGTGTGGCAAGTACGATGATGTCAGGCCTTAGGGTAAATGTCAAGATTAATCAGGAAGTATAGGGGTTTGTCATGACCTATTTTGGGGTTTGTCATGACCTATTTTGGGGTTTGTCATGACCTATTTTGGGGTTTGTCATGACCTATTTTGGGGTTTGTCATGACCTATTTTGGGGCTTGTCATGACCTATTTTGGGGTTTGTCATGACCTATTTTGGGGTTTGTCATGACCTATTTTGGGGTTTGTCATGACCTATTTTGGGGTTTGTCATGACCTATTTTGGGGCTTGTCATGACCTATTTTGGGGTTTGTCATGACCTATTTTTAGCGTATTATTTCGCTCAGTCACGCAGATGGTATGTTAGTCGGGCAAGAAGTATTTGGTGATTGGTGGTTGTTATCATTAGAGTGTCATTCATATGTTTTTTTTTTATCCGTAGGTGAAGCGGTATCGTTCAAGAAGTACCAGGGGAAGGTGGTGCTGGTACAGAACACGGCGTCCCTCTGAGGCACGACCTCCCAGGACTTCCTCCAGATGAACGAACTGATCGAGAAGTTCGGAGATAATCTGGCAGTCCTGGCCTTCCCCTGCAACCAGTTTGGTCATCAGGTGGGTACTGGGGGAACTGGGTACTGGAGAGGTCTGGGGGGAACTAGTTACTGGGTCCTGATCTTCCCTCAATACAACCAGTTTAGTCATCAGGTGGGTACTGGGGTAACTGGGTAGGACTGGGTGCTGGGTGAGGTCTAGAGGGAACTGGTTACTGGTCCTGGCCTTCCCCCAAGGAGCAGGTGACTTTTGGGGGCTTTGGTTACGCCGAGAATGTCACCTGAGCATCTGAATGTCACAGGGTCTAGGTATGGTGTTGAAATCTCACCCAGTCTGCGGGGAACTTACGGGAGCACCTCACAGTATTACACCGTACTGTAGAGGGAACTGAGTGTAGCTATTACTGTTTGTATATACTAGCAGGTTGGCTACGATTCCAGCTAGTGATGAAAATACTAGGATATGTGTTTTAAGGATTCACACTTGAATTATATCACTTGGATTTTACTGTACACACTATCCTCATCCTCACTCACAAAATAATTACACTACAGCATCTAACTTTTATTAATATTTCCCGCAGGAGAACACCACTGAGGCGGAACTATTGAACAGTCTGCAATATGTTCGTCCCGGTAACAATTTTACTCCCCAAATGGACATGTTCGGTAAAGTTGACGTCAACGGGGACACCACACACCCAGTATTCAAGGTAAGTTTTATCATCACACTGTTTATGGTGATTAGTGATTATTTTCCTCCCAAGAGATAGTGTAAGAGAGAACCTATAACTGGCTAACTTAAAGTAAATCAAAATAACACGATAAATTTTTAGTTTCGGACAACATGGGATTTAGAAGTTTATTTATTTATTTATTTATTTTTTAATGTTCACAGCTTTTGTTAATAGAATACCTAAATTGACCTGGCCAAAAACCATTCACATCTTAAACTGTAACACGAATTCAAATCAACTTTATATTTCCTTGTCGTAGTATCTGAAGGAGCGTCTGCCTCTCCCGTCCGACGACAGTGTCAGCCTAATGTGTGACCCCAAGTGTATCATCTGGTCTCCCGTCACACGCTCTGATATCGCCTGGAACTTTGAGAAGTTTCTGATTGGCAAGGATGGGACTCCATACAAAAGGTCAGTAGACTTGTTTGTTCTTTAATGAGTCTTTCTATATTATCTTCAGGAGACAAACAAAGAAAACAAAGAAACCATCAAAGGGTGACGAATGAATATAAATTTATGACTCCATTGAAAATTTTCTTTGTCAGACGTTGAGCAATGACCATAAAACTGAGGAAGAATTACTTGATGTAGAGAGTCCTTGGCGAGAAGCAAGAATAAATAAGATGTTAAATGAAGATGACAGATAGAGGAAAATATAGCCGTAGATGGGATTACAGTATGTTTTAAAGGATGGTGTGGCTTTTAGGGTGTGTGTGTGTGTGCGGATTAGTACGTTAGTTAAACCAGAGTAAATCACCACCACTAGCAGAAAGGGTCCTCTCACTTAGCCTGCAGCGTGGAGTGGTGCCCAAGGTGTAGTGTGAATATTAGCTTCTTATTACTTGATGTTTGATGTACAATATAAAGACAAATTTAATTGGGTTTATATATTATATCTGGTTTTATATTATTTGTTATTTTCCAGGTTCAGCAAAAAGTTCCCAACACGAGACCTGGAGCAAGACATCAAAACTCTGATTAAGTAATAAATGTTCCATCACCCAAAACTGCCAGACGTCTCGCTAAACTCAGGTTACACGGTGGAGTGTTCCTGGTCCTGTTATGAAAGGTGTCCTACAAACACTCGTTGCGGGGACACCTGGATGTGCTGGAGGACTAAGACCATGACACCGTGTCCAGGGTATTGAGGGAGCTGTGCAGGAAGTGCTGTGAGGAACAAAGATTTTAGGTTTTACTAAAAAAGAAAATGCAGGTTGGTAATGATTTTTTGGTTTGGAAAAATGTATTTTTATTTAAAATAAAAGCAAAATTTATGGATGGTTACGCAGTTTATTATTTTGAAACAATTTAAATACCTTTCATATCAAGCAACTGACACCTGACCCCACACTCAGCAGTCGCTCTAACGGTCTAACCCAACCATAACACACATTAGTATATATTGTTGTTTCTTCCTCACACTATTCAACTATAGTGCAGGTGGCTGGGAGTTACACACACAAATTACACCTTTATTTAGCATCATCTATTCTGCCTCCTGTAACAAACGTGTCCCTTCATGATACAGTATACCATCAGAAGGCCCCCAACAATCTCTCTGGTCGGCCCTTGTTGCTTCACACAGCCCAGCATCACCTACATCCTCTGAGCCTTGTTAGTTTTATCCCCAGTAGACCTTTGTTGTTGCTATGGTGATGTTCTGATATTTATGCTTCAACAAGTAAGGATTTCAAGGATGTTTTCTTAGCAGCTCGATCATACATAAGACATCTATTATTTATTGATTAAAAGTCATAACACCAACGACTGTCTTTTGTTTGTTTATTTGTTGTTAGATGGTTGTAGGTCGAATGCGGCCCAGTCTTATGAGGCCTCCACCCAAACCTAACTTTACCTTAATGATTGGAACCCATTCAGGACTAGGAACCATTAAAACTGCATGGGGGCCTAATTCTAATGGTTATGGTAGGATGGGGGACCATTAGGGTTGGATTCGATTAAAACTTAGACTCCAACCCGAATAGTTTGGTGCCCGTTTGTCCAGCCTCTGTGTCAGGTGACGTGAGTGGTGTGTGTGTGTGACTGGAATCTCATCAAAGCAGAGACTATCAGATAACAAGGAGCGTGAGTCACCGTCCTGCGTGGCGGGCCATACAGAACAGGTCCATGGCTCTCTGGCTCCTACGATGAACAGTCCTGGTAGCTGAAGTGTGGAAATCCTTCTTACTGGTGTGGGATAAAATAGATCACAAGAAGTATAGCCCCAGCTTATTTCGTCATCCCTGGTAGCGTTAGGGTTTTTTAATCGTCGGATGGAATAAGCACAGGAAGCTGATCCTCAAATGATTCTAAATTCGTGTTGTTTGTTTGTTTTTGTGTTTTTTTTTACGATTATTCGACTTGGCTCAGGTGTTTGATATATCGCAACCTCTACCGAAAGAGTCAACCAAGTTATTATTCGGCGTAGTAAGAGTGCTCGCTGTATCTATGTGTAATTATGTTTTACGAGATGAAAAAGTGGGATATTTATACTGGTGTTTCCATTACGGTTCTGCTGCCTGGTGGGAGGGAGGCAAGTAGTAATGTTCGAAAAATACCAAAAACACGATTACAGTACTAAGCTAAGTCGTATAATGTTGGAAAAATGCTTGAAATAGGACAACAAAGACAGACAAACCTTGATTATAAAGTTAGATATGTACCGGAAATAGGATGATTAACTCAGACAAGTTGTATAGTGTTGGGAAATTACTAAACAAAAAGTCACGAACAATTATTTATATACAAGTAGCGCCATGTTCAGTATATACACCGCCACCCATACTCTTAGTAAATATGGCTCAAAAGTTGTATCTCACTTACTCTTAATCCTCCTGAGCTGTAGAATATCTCCTAAATAGAAAGACAAGAGAGGAGAGGCACTCGGCAACCCTCGAAACAAGAGATCAATTCCACGTCGTTGTAAATTTTACCGAGTGCGTAACCCGGACAAAGACGTACAATTTACTTTCATAATAGACTGTTACGTAACCCGGATATGTAGTCGAGTTTACTGACTACTCAAGCCGATTGTTTGGTATTATAATATGGGTAAAAGGGACTTATCTATGTGGATCAATTAGTCTTAAAACAGAGAGAGAGAGAGAGAAAGATGAAAGAGACAAAAGACAAATAATAAGAAAGACAGACAGAAAGCAAGAGAGGTGACAATGAGAGACGGAGACAACAAGAGAGACAGATCAAGTCCAGACAAACTTCATTTGCATCACACGTTCATGGGATTGTGAAGATTAAGCTGTACTAAATGTGTAAAGTGAGTGGGTGAGAGAGAGGTGAGTGGGTGAGTGAGAGGTGAGTGGGTGAGAGAGAGGTGAGTGGGTGAGTGAGAGGTGAGTGGGTGAGTGAGAGGCGGTGAGTGACAGAGAGTGAGAGATATCAAATAAAGATAATAATAAAAATACAGTAAACAAAATATTAAAGAAAATGAGTCAGAAAAAAAACACTAATAGAGGAACTAAAAGAGAATTAGATAAAGAGAGGAAGAGATAATAAAATATGAAGACACGGCTAATAAAGTGAGAGGAAATGATATGTGAAGAGAGAAAGGAGAGAGAGAGCAATAAAGAAATAGGAAGACAGACCTGATAAAGATCTGTCGAGGTATTTGATAAAGAGAGAGAGAGGGAGGAAGGACAAGGAGATGGGGAAAATTGACAAAAAGAGAGGGAGGAGAAAGGAGAATAACTGAAAAGAAGAATAAGAAAAAGGGTTAAAAATTGACAGATAAAGAGAAGAGAAAGAGTGGATAACGAGGAAGAAAATGAGAGAAAAAAGACAGGAAGGGAGAGAGAATAACAGAGAAGCAGATAAAGTAAGGGAGAAATTTGTTTGTCTATTTTTACTTTTTTCCGAGTCTTCCTTTCTCTCTCTTTTCGATTATAATAAAAAACAAACATAAATAATCACTGGAAAAATAATGTACTACCAAAATATATAAGTTTACCATGAAATAAGAAAAAAGCTCCATTTTCTTTCTCTACTTTTCCTCGACCCAACTAATTAAATTCTTTTGGACAACACAATTAATCGTCTCTCTCCTTTAATTCCGGTATAATTAATCTGAAACTTGGCTGGCTTGTACTTTAGTCCAACACACTTATACTCCATTACTTATTTTATATAATTTTGGGTATTTTTAACCTTACTAACTCAACCAAATAATATTTACTTTTTGTCACCTACAGAAATATCTAATTATATAAACCTTGAAGTGAAAAAAAGCAATTTAGGTATTTGTATAATTCGTATGATTAATATTCTCAGGGGTGTGTGTTTGTAGCTGAATTCCTGAAAGTTTTAATTAGAAATTCCTCAAAAAATTTTCGCGTGAGGGAACAATTTATGTAGTTTATTCAGTGAGATTAATTTTGCCTCACGACATCCATGGTTGTCCTGTTTATTTTTAGATACACTTACCAACACGATAATGATAATGATGATTGTAATAATGATACTACTACTACAGCTACTACTTTGTAACTACTTCTACTACTTCTACTACTACTACTACTACTAATAATAATAATAATAATAATAATGCAGACCCATGGAAGCTATGAGGTTGTATAAAAGAATTACACTTTTCCCATATCTCCTTTCAATCCAATTTTCTTTATATTCCACCAATAGATAATAATATCGATAATCTCTAAATTAAAGTATATAAAATATATAATATAACAAACATTGATGAATAATAGACATTGTAATATTTACCCGTGAAATGGCAATAAGGATTCGAACAGTTAAACTACAACAAAATGATAAGTTTACCCTATAAAAACCTCTTTCATTTTCTCTGATTCTGCTATTCGAAAATGGGAATTGGTCACCCCCCAGGGCACATTATATTTAGCTACCTGGCTGAATCAAATATCGTCATCCCATGCATTAGGGTCATACCTCAATCTAACCTTCCTTCGCTTATCCGTTACCCGCGGAGGTGAATTATAATGCCGGTAATTGCTGTAGGCGAGATGTTCATTAGCATACGTCTTACCTGGGCTCAGATTTCAAGGGGGGGGCAAGACGGGACGGGACACCTTGCCTGCTGCTGCCATCTACCCTCCGTGAGTCAGTGTGTAACATGTCGGTGCTAGAGAAAGTGTAGTGTCTTCACGCTCTCGGGGATTTTTACTTGACTTGTACAAAAAAGGATTGATTGATAGCTGAGGAGAAATATACATACAGGTAAGTGAATGTTTGTTTGTTTAGTTGGTGTTAAAGAAAAATTTATTAGAAGTTTGTGAGGAAGGTGGAAGAGGTAGGTGGTGGGCACGTCCAAGTATCAAGGTTATGTTTTGGGCAGGAGAGACTTAAGGGCCTCTCAGCCCCCAGGGGAAGAAGTGCTAGGTAGAGTTATGCCATTTACCTGTTACAGTGAGACGGATGAACACATATACAAACACCACCATAACACAGACACAGGAATAAACTCAATGTAAACAAACTTGTGTATCAGGAAAATTTCAGTATTTTTTTTTCAAGGCGGTTTTGTATGAATGAGTTAATACCACAGCCTGGTAATAGTATAAGTATGACTCATCTTTAGGGTGTATATGTATGTATGTTAGTGTTTGTGTATTATAATGTATTAATATTGACGACTTGAATGACTGTGAATGAATGGGCGAAGGGTGGGAGTCGTATTGATGAGACTACTGAGTTGTGAAGGAGTGAATAATGAGTGAATTACCAATTGACGTATAATTAAGTTACTGAATTACCTACGTAAAATTAGTATGAGTGTATGATGATAGTCCACTTACCTTCGTAAATAATAAATATCTGTTCATTGGAATTTGTTTTGGCGTATAGAAGTTGATTTACAGGATAAATTTTGTGAAAAGGTATATACGGTAGTGAGAATATGATCACATGCGGTACATATGGTATATACTTACTATATTTAGCTTGGAAATAGGCCTACTGTACAAGACTCAAATTCTTGTAAGTTTTCTCATGTCAAGATTTTCGTACGTAAAAGGTGAATATTTTGGGGATAAGGTTTTGGTGTGTCCATCAACATGTGAGTTAGGTTAGGTTAGATTACGTTTGGTTAGATCAGATTACAATGAATTGGGTTATGTTAGGTTAGGACAGTAGATTAGGTTAGGTTAGACTAGCGCTGGGGTGATTTAACCATGAATTGAAACAAGCTTTGGGGGGCTAATCTTCAGGTGATCCGGAAACCATTTAACGCGCGAATCTTAGATAATTCTGTCCGGTCCGGGGAGGGAAGGACAGCCTAGCACCGCCCTCCT